ATATGCCAATATTAAAATTTAAAATAAATTATGATAGCTTTTCAACTCCGGTTTTAATTTACTTTTCGATCTGACCAATTGAATTGTTAAAATATGTTGTAAAACATATACGAACCGGGAAATGAAGTATGAGTTCTACAACGAAGTGCGAATCGCATTTAAGTCCATGAAAGAGTATTTCGTTCATGAAATTAAGTGCAAATATATAGGAAAATATACTTTGTTGGGTGTAAAATTGGAGATATTTTTAGGGTGACAGACTAAAAATCCCCAATTTGATCTTAGTGTTTAAAAACTAAATTTATGTTTTAAAAACAAAAGCGAGAGTTAGCCTTTAGGGGAAGGGAAGTGAGAGCTCTGGAGTGGGAGTCTCTAACCTCCTAACCTAGTCACGGATTTAGGGACTAAACCTAAGATTAGCCAATGATTTTCTATAACACTGAATCAGGGTAGAGAATCAAAAATTGCTCCTATTTGGCACAATACAAATTTAAACAATTTATCTCATCTCATTATACCAAAAACTCATTGTAGTGGGAAAAATGTTTTTTCATATTAGAAAACTTCATCAAATAAACATATTTTAGTAGTTACTATTTTTAAAACTCTACATTTATGTTTTGCTAGTAGTTAATAATTAGTTTTGTTAGTATCTTACACTTTCAAAATTAGTGACAGTAATTTTGTTTGATTTCTGTGAATTTTCTAGTGAATTTATCACTTCAAATTTTAATCTTCCCCGTGAGATTGATATTTGGGACTTAAACAGAAAGTCTTATATTACTTGATAACGATACGTACATTTACGTAGAATCCCAATCTTAAGAGTTTAACATTATTATTACTAAAATACAACATTAAGTTGTATTACTAAAATACCACATTAATTTTTTGGCACCGTTGTAAAGCGAAGTCAATTTTATAAATTTTACATAACTATATTCAAGCGGAATCAAGTTTTTGGCGCCGGAACTGCATATTTATTATTAGTCCTAGCCAACGGTGCATCAAGTTTTTGGTGTCGTTGTTGGAGTAACGATAAATTACTTTATAATTGATAACATTTTATTTGAACTGAAAAACTATTTATAGATTAATTAAATATTTTAATATTTTAGTGTGTTTTTTTATTTTTATTGCTTAGTGTGTTTATTTATGTGTAGTTTAAGATCGCCATGTTTAATACCTTACGATTTGGAGTTAGAAGGAATAATTAGAAAAATTCAAAAATAAGAAAAAGAGAGATAATTTGAATAGAATGTCTTGCAACTCAAGTAATTATGGGATGATAATGAACATCATTAGAGACCTTTATAAGATTATGCTAATCCTACAGTAAATGAAATTTGTTTGACTATACAAAACTCTGTTGTAACTGCCAATTCATTTCAGCTTAAACCTACTATTATCCAAATGGTACAAAATAATCAGTTTGGGGGACCACCAACTGAAGATCTTAATTTACACGTTGTTAATTTTCTAGAATTGTGTGCTACATTTAAATATGATGGAGTGTCCAATGTTGCTTTCAAACATAGACTTTTTCCTTTTTCACTAAGGGATAAAGCTAAAGCTTGATTAAATTCATTAGCACCTAGATCTATTAAAATTTGGGGAGAACTATCACAAAAATTCATGGCTAAATATTTTCCACCCTCGAAAACTGCTCAGCTTAGAGATGATATTACATCTTTTTGTCAGTTTGAAAGGGAATCAATATATGAAGCCTGGGAAAGATTTAAGGATCTTCTTAGAAAATGTCCACACCATGATTTACTAGATTGGTTAATAGTTCAAACTTTTTATAATGGATTAGTAGGATCACTTAGATCTATTATAGATGATGCATGTCTGCTAATGGATCATTAATATCAAAACCATTCGATGAAGCATTTTCATTAATTGAAGGGATGACTATTAATAATTTTCAATGGCTCTCTGAACAGGTAAATCCTAAGAGAGTAGCTAGTATTCATGAATCTGATGCAATATCTATTTTAACATCTCAAATTGCTGCTATATCGAAAAAGATTGATCGAATTGGAGTGAACTATTCCCAAATACCACCAGTATTAGAGAAAAATTCACTAGGACAAATAATTGATACTCAATCCTCTGATGAAACTTTAAATTCTTTTAATAATCAAAATAACAATCCCTATTCTAACTATTTCAACCCTGGATGGAAAAATCACCCTAATTTAAGTTAGAATAATTATAACAATTCAATGAACCCCTCAGGAAATTTAAATAATTAAGGAAATCCTAATTATCGACCTTATTATCCCCCTGGATTTAACTATAACCCTTACCAACAAGTTAAGGAAAAGAAGTTAATGATGGAAGAGGAATGTTGAATATGGGAAATCAAATACAAAATCAAGGGGCTGCTATTGAAAATATTGAAAATCAATTAAGACATATTGCTACTGCACTTAGTAACAGACCTTCAGAAAATCTTTCAAGTACTGTAGAAGTTAATTCCAAAGATCAAAATAAAGGGAAAATTAAAGCAATTCAGTTGCGAAGTGGAAAAAAAATTGAAACAAGAATCCAAAGAGAAACTGAAGTTGATAAGGAGAAAGCAGAGATGGAAAGTGACCATAATGAAAATGAACGAACACAAGTTCCTTTATAAAAACCATTACATCTGTTTTCTCAACGACTAAATAAAAAGAATAAAGATAAATAATTTACAAAATTGTTAGAAATTCTTAAAAATTTAATGATAAATATTCCTTTCATTGAGACTTCGAATGCCAAGTTATGTGAAATTTATGAAAGATATATTAAACAAGAAAGGAAGTTTGCAGATCATGAAATTGTTGCACATAGTGAAGAGTGTAGCAGTATTATCCAGCTATTATTCATAAAAGCTTCCTGAAAAGTTAAAAGATCCTGGTAGTTTTACTCTACCTTGTGTAATTGGTGAAAAGTTTTATGTAAAAGCCTTATGTGATTTAGAAGCGAGTATCAATCTTATGCCTCTATCGATTTTTAAACGTTTAGATTTAGGACAAATTTCCCATACTACTATAACTCTTCAGTTAGCTGATCAATCAATCACTTATCCTAAAGGAACTATAGAAGATGTATTAGTAAAAGTGGATAAATTTATTTCTCTTGTAGACTTTATAGTATTAAATAAGGAGGAACATAAAGAGATTCCTATCATTTTGGGGAGACCATTTCTTATTGGATATGGAGGAAGATAAAGAAATTCCTATTATTTTGGGGAGACCATTTCTTACAACAGGGAGAGCCGTGATTGATGTGCAAAAAATAAAATTAATAATAAGAGTTAATGATCAAGAAGTAACATTTAATATTGCAAAAACTATGACATATCCAGCAATAGAAAAAGGTAATGAATATTTTAGGATAGAAGTAACTGATTATCTGAGTAATGAGCAATTTAAGAATGAATTGTGAAGTAAATTAAAGCAATAAGAATTTTTTGAGAATGAGGATGAAATAAAAGAAGAAAATATAGATTATATTTAAGACAAATTTGAAACTTTAGAATTTTTGAAAAATGATAAGAAAAATTTTATTCTTTCAAATATTAAACTACCTGAACTTGAACTGAAAGTATTACCTGCTCATTTAAAATATGTTTTTTTAGGAGATTCATCTACATTGTCTGTTTTGTATCTTCCGAGTTAACTGAAATTCAAGAACAAAAATTAATAGAAATGTTAAAAAAATATAAAAAGGCTTTTAGATAAACTTTAGCAGATATTAAAGGAATTAGTCCTTCAATTTGTATGCACAAAATTCTATTATATGAATAATACAAACCTAAAGCTGATCCTCAGAGGAGATTAAACCTAATAATGAAAGAAGTTGTTAAAAAAAAATTTTAAAATGGTTAGATGTTGGAATTATATATCCTATTTTCAAACAGTGCTTGGGTAAGCCCAATTCACTGTGTTCCAAAGAAAGGAGGAGTGACCGTTGAAGTAAATGAGAAAAATGAATTAATTTTAATAAGACAAGTTACTGGTTGACAAATTTGTATAGATTATAGAAAATTAAACCTGACCACCAGAAAAGATCACTTTACTTTACCCTTTCTAGACCAAATGTTGATAGATTGGCTGGAAATAAATATTACTGCTTTTTAGATGGATATATCGATTATCATCAAATTCCACTTGCTCCTGAGGATCAAGATAAAAATAATATTTACAAGCCCTTATGGAACATTTGCTTTTCATAGAATGTCTTTTGGACTATGCAATATACCTGCAACATTTCAAAGATGTATGATGTCAATATTTAGTAATTTGATTGAACATGGAATGGAAGTATTTATGGATGATTTCTCTGTGTTCAGGACTTCTTTTGGATTATGTTTAAATAATTTAGAA